CTGGCTGAAGTCGGACGCTCAACCGACTGCGCCACCCAGGCGCCCCTTCCCTTCCTTGTTCTATCTTGGTGCTTGTCCAACCCTAGCCAGGAGTGCAATGGAACCAGCCTTACGAGCGTAAAAGCAGCGCACGAAAAGACAGCAAAGGAGGAATGTAATTATATTTCAGAGGAGGAAAGAGAAATAAATGACAAATTGTGGGAGACAGAGAAGTTTGAGCAAAAATCCAGAAAGGAACTACCATTTGAGTTAAGCCTTCCACAAGTTAGCTGTATAGATGCAGAGACCTGTGATGGAAAGTAGAGAAATTGAGAGGGAATGCGTAGTCAAGAGCCCGAACACGCCTTATTTCTGACAGGTTGTAGTTCTTTCTGACAGATCCATTTATTGTCTGTGTCACAGTCCTCAGAAAAAATTCCTGTCGGTGAGACGTAAACACAGCTGTTTTTCTTAGTATAACCAACAATACGTAATCTGTGGAGCAAACGAAAAGCGTCATTTAGTGCTTGGAATTTTCTCACATCAGCCAGCGTCTCCCTACAACTTTCAGGAAACAATGGGCTGCTAAATTATTGAGAATAGAGCAAGCGCACAGTCACAAAGCTAATGGTGTAAACTTTTAATTTAAAGCTGATAATAAATCTCCGGCCCTTGCCAGTTTATCTTCATTGGAAAAGCATTCTCGGGGCGCCTGGGTGGTGCAGTCGGTTAAGCGTCCGACTTCAGCCAGGTCACGATCTCGCGGTCCGTGAGTTCGAGCCCCGCGTCAGGCTCTGGGCTGATGGCTCGGAGCCTGGAGCCTGTTTCCGATTCTGTGTCTCCCTCTCTCTCTGCCCCTCCCCCGTTCATGCTCTGTCTCTCTCTGTCCCAAAAATAAATAAACATTGAAAAGCATTCTCTACGAAGAAGCTTCAAACTAATATATACAAACAAACAAACAAACACCAAGCTTTGCAAACTGGGGCTCTCTTCTTATCTTATTCTGTCCTTAATACATGTGGAAAGTTTCTTAACTTTACTGAGCTTCAGTTTTCTTAAACAGACAGGACAGGACCACCTGATATTTGGCGGAGGCATTGAGATAGCACATGTGAAGGTCTGACAATGCTTCAAGTGTGCGCTCAGTAAACACATTAAGTAGACAACAGGTGATGGACATGCAGGGTCTACAGAATTTGGATAGGCTTAGAAAAGAGGCTTAGTGGGGCGCCTGGGTGGCTCAGTCGGTTTAAGCGTCCGACTTCGGCTCAGGTCACGATCTCATGGTCTGTGAGTTCGAGCCCCGCGTCGGGCTCTGTGCTGACAGCTCAGAGCCTGGAGCCCGTTTCAGATTCTGTGTCTCCCTCTCTCTCTGCCCCTCCCTGCTCATGCTCTGTCTCTCTCTGTCTCAAAAATAAATAAAAACATTTAAAAAAAAAAAAAAAAGAGGCTTAGTTTGTGTGGTATGGGCCAGAGGCTTCCATTTTTCCTCATTCCAAACAGAAATTGGTGGGTGTCTGCTTCAAAATGTCGTTGGTTCCAACACGCATGAGGCTTATGGAATGTATTGGGAAGAGGCGGCACTAAGGTGAGGTGCCAGGATGGGATGGTTCAAGACTCTCTTATCCAATGTTAAACAAAGAGGATAGGGGTCTGTCACAACTTTTCTTTGTTCCTTCACTGCATTTCTCCATGCAGCCCTTTTGGCCTGAGCAGCCAATCCGATTCCTTCCTAGTGTCTGACACCCTAGTCAACTTATGAACTTCTCTCAACTGGGCTATTGTCAAAGTCCGCCATGTTTTATCTCTTCTACCCATTTGATTCCTTCTTCCGCTTTACAAGATAACTTTTTAACGCTTAGATGGCCAAATCAAAGACTTTCTTTCCGAAAGATCGTCAATGGCTTCCTAGGCTTTTCTTAACCAGATCTCAGCCTGGTTCTCTACCTTATCTCATTTAATCCCTAAACGGTCCTGCAAAAACAATTACTATCACCCTCTATTTTTTTTTTTTTTTTTTTTTTTTACCTGAAAGCCAGGCTGACAGTTAAAATAAAAGCCGAATTTAATGAATACTCTTTCTACTACAACCCCATTCCTTCCAGGTTTACCTGATCACTGCCATATTTAATTAAAGCATAATTTTTATCTCAGAGTAAAATGGGATGTTCAGCTGAATTTAATCCATCCGCTTTACCTATATTTCCACTCACGGACACTTCACTGTTCTCCAATTTTATTATAAACTTCAGTAAAATAAACACACACACACTGATTTCCATTAACCCTAATTTGGGTATGAACAAAGAAAAATAAGTCAACATTAAATTTTCATTTATATGGGAATAAAGTACAGAGAGTAATCGCCAGAAAACATGTAAAAAATGAAGATAGATTTTTTTTTTTTGGAATTTGTGTGGTGTGTGTGTGGTGTATGTGTGGAGTACGTATGTTGTATACGTGTAGTCAGCGTATTTTGTGTGTGGCTTGTGTCGTGTACGTGTGATGTGTGTTGGACGTGTGTGTGTTGTTTTTGGTGTGTGTGTGGTATACATGTGTGGTGCGAACGCACATTTTATCCACCAGAAAGAGTAGGCTTGCCCTTTCATAAATTTATTCTACCTCGGAACACTTAGACTTTAAAATAATTTTTTTAAATTTTTTTTTAATGTTTATTTATTTTTGACGGAGAGAGACAGAGCATGAGCGGGGGAGGGGCAGAGAGAGAGGGAGACACAGAATCTGAAGCAGGCTCCAGGCTCTGAGCTGTGGGCACAGAGCCCGACGTGGGGCTCGAACTCACGGACCGCGAGATCATGACCTGAGCCGAAGTCGGACGCTTAACCGACTGAGCCACCCAGGCGCCCCTAAAATAATTTTTTTGAAAAATCACCTTTAAAAAATATTTTAGAACATGTGTCAAACAACGTAAAAATTTGCTAATTAAGCCAACATATGTTTCAATGTTTAACACTTTTCCTTACACGTTTACACTATAGTTTAGATAAACTTGGACATGTGCCTGTGTTTTAAGTCTCATGTGTTTTCCTCATACTCCTCATGTTTTTTGAATGATAAAAAAGTTTTAACTCTCATTTATACAAATGTGATTGAAATCTTCACAGACTCAAAAACTGGAACACAGGGGGGCCTGGGTGGCTCAGTCGGTTTAAGCGTCCGACTTCAGCTCAGGTCACGATCTCACAGTTTGTGGGTTCGAGCCCCACGTCGGGCTCCGCGCTGACAGCTCGGGGCCTGGAGCCTGCTTCGGATTCTGTGTCTGCCTCTGTCTGCCCCTTCCCTGCTCATGCTCTGTGTCTCTCTCTCTCAAAAATAAATACACATTAAAATAAGTTAAAAAATAAAGCAACACAACATCCTCTCTTCTGAACAACTTATCAAAAGAAGTTCTTTACAGAAACATTATGTGAATGCATACTTTTGCTTCCGAGGAAAAAATTCTCTGCCTTTGTTACACAATTATCCATTAATTCTGTTAAAATATGTAATTTATTTGGGTAGTATCAACCCTCCTATTGAACCGATAATTTTCTTGGAGAGCTTACACAAAAAATTACAATGAGACACCCAATAGAACATAGCTAATAGATCCCTTGTGGCCTATGCCATATTCATCACATCCCCTCAAATAATTGTCTCCTTGGCACCTCTTGTTAAAATATACCGTTGACCTTTGAACATCATGGGTTTGAACCATATGCGTTCACTTCACATGGTCTTTTGATAAATACGGTGTGTTACTGTAAGTGTATTTTCTAGTTTTATGGTTTTCTTAATAACATTTTCTTTTCTCTAGCTTATTGCAAGAATACAGTGTAGAATAACTATAATGTATTTAAAATATATGTTAATCGACTGTTTACGTTATCGGTAAGGCTTTCCGGCCTGTCTGAGTTCCACACTCTTGATATTTACTTTTTTTTTTTTTTAATTCACTGGAAAACACTACTTAAATAATTCTGCATGCTAAAAGCCTCCAGCTAGAGATGGTTTAATGCGATCCCCATCCCCCCCACCCCACCACCAAATTATCTATTCCTTGTTTCCTAAATCTCTGTTATAGATAAAAATATATATATATATTGCTCTAAAGGGCTGATGTCTTTTCCCATATGGGACTTTCAACCAACCAGCTTCAGAATCGTTCATCTTCTAAGTCTATTCTGGACGTCTTGAAAATTCCTAAGCCAAATGGAAATCACAAAACTCAGTCTTTCATAACAATTTTACGTTCTCGAAATACAAAGCTGGTATAGCGTGAATATTCAAATTGGCTTATCGAATACTCACACGTTTGGATTTAAAAATGACCCATTTATCCACTTCCATTTCTTCTCTGATAATGTTAAATTTAATCCAATCCAAAACAGAAATTCTTTTTTAGGTATCAGGCTTTGTACGTGTCTCTATAAATAAAGCAAACAAAATGGCGGAATGCTGAATCTGTATGATCTATTCATGGTTTGCATTTTTCTACTCTTTCTCTAAAACTGAGTTCAAGTCTTACCTCGTCTATGATGACTTTCCTAACTCCCCATCAGAGATGATTATTCCTTCTTTGTGATATTACTCTCTCTATTTATATTGTTGCATTCATCAAATTACATTCAATTATTTCCTTATGTGTCTGTTTCGTCTCTCAGATTGTGAGCTTCTTGAAGTCAAAGTTGCTACTTGTATCTGCATAGCCCCTTTGGGCTGAACCCCAAAGGCCGTGGTAAGGTTAGAAAAAAGTGCTAAGTTCTATTAAGGTATCTTATTTAATTATTTACCAGTTCTTCTGGATCTTGAAAAAGCAGCAAACTGGATTCTTGTGTGGAACAGTCAGCTAGACTGTAGTTCCAAGTGTTGGAAGCGAGAGAAAAAAACAAACATTTTTCTCGGAGTAGACGCCAATCTTTTGGGCACTTTAACAGATCTGGTTTCTCTGAAGTAAAGAGAAAGATGAAATAAATAAGTGTTATAGTTCTCTCCTGTTTCCACCCACCACAACCAATCACACATGCACAAGTCATCATAAATGCACAAAAGTCTCTGATTATCATTGTGAGAACAATGAATGGATTGGCTATAATTTTGAGGTTTTTGACACTCTCCATTCTGATATCAAGAATTGGAAATCCATGACCAGTTGTAGGGGGCATAAATGCAATCATAGAGTGTTAGAATAGGAAAAGACCATTAAAATCATTTACGCAGCCACATCGTACTTTTTAAGACACTGACAGAATAATTTAAGTGCACATAATCAGATGGTGTGAAGAGTCAAAACTACTGCTGAATTTTCTCAAGCTCATCAGTAGTGTTGATTCCACTACATATCCAACAATATCAAACTTATCGAAAGGAGTTTTTACCTCAAACAACTTGTAAACTGCAAAGCAAATATAATTTATCGCCCTAAATTGATGACCAGTACTACGGAAAATTTCCAATTGCCAAAGTATATACTTGCTTACTTAGTGCAATCTGTTGGGTAACATTTTCCAGAAGGATTTTCCAGGTTACTTAAAATTGATGATCTGGGAGCATGTGCACCATCCACAATCATATTTTACTAGTCATTCAACCACAGTGTCTTTATTAACGCACACTGCTTCGTGAAGCAAGATTAACCTCCTAGTAGTGAATATGATAAATATTTAGAAACTTATTTTATATTTAAGTTTTACTAATTAACTTCAGTTAAAAGTTAACTGTTTGACATGCTCACTAAAATCATCCACTATTTCACTTAGGTGCGTATATTACTTCTTAACTTGATATTTGGCTGTTAATTCTTGAATATTCCAGCAGCAACATCTGTGTTGGGGGTGGAGTGTGTCAGGTAAGTGATTCACGATCACTGGCTTCAGAATACTTATTTTGTTTCCTCTAAGTGTGGAAGTGTGACCTAGTGGTTAAGATCATCGGCTCTGAGGTCAGGCCACAGGTACAATTTCCATTGTCGCCTCTTACTTGGTGTATGACCCTAAGTGAGTTGCTTAACCCTCCCATTCCCCAGGGTTGTCAAACATAAAGTCAGAAAGCTCATACTATCTGAATATATGGGTTTTTAGGAGCCTTTACTAATGTAATGTATGGTATCGGTCAAATACGAGCTGTTATTTTTAGGAACTTCCAAGCTACAAAATTACCTGTTGTTTCATTCCTGTTCTCGTGAACATCCACACCGCTTTCTTCTATTGACAAGTTTTGTCTTAAGAATATTACTAGTAAATAAGGAGAAACCAGTAAGAAGATTAAATGCTGAATGTGGCAAAATGGATATGTTATTATCACTTCGGGAAACTGTGTTATCTCAACAAGCTTGAATGTGGGTAGAATATAAAGGCAATAGCTATGTAGTAACAAAGGGTCTAGTTAGAACACAGCATACGTAAACAAACAAAGAAGAAAAAACACCTAACAATGAACTCACATAGACGTTGTTACCTGTTATCTACTCTTAAGTTGTTAATACTCCTGACCAAGCTTTCTCATATTCGGGAGGAATATAATTATGCCTACCCCCTGGGAGAGATTGCCTAGTGCAATCTGGAATATAATAGGTACTGAAGAAACTGTAAATAATGGAAAATTTAAATTATCTTTGTTATTGTCATGTCTTTATTAGAATGGTGATCTAATTTTAAGTTCTGGAGCACATCTGAAATACCTCATGAAGATGATCAGAACAATTAGGAACAGAAATCCAAAAGGCTGAAGTTCACAGAGTAGATTTGGGCTGAGCATTGTTAAAAGCATTGTTTTGTAATTGTCTTTCTTTCCTTGGTCTTTCGCTAAGTTTGGGGGTGGCCAAATTATTTGATACTCTAATATTTGTGATAGGAACAAAATATGTATTCTGAAGCAAATGATCTTGAATCACTTACCTGAAATACTCAACCCAATCACAGTCAAGGTAAGAAGAATAACCCCAGTACAACCAAGTTTCAGAGCCAACTGATGCCAAGGTGGACCTTGACAGATGTCTGAGAAGTTAAGAAAATACACTTAGTTAACTGGTTGGGTCCATCTGGAACAAAAAGCAAAGGTGGTTTGGGTCGCATATAGACAGATTCAAGTTGGGAGCTGGGGGCAGGAAAGAACGCTTATCAGCCATATTAGAGCTCCACGAGATGGGTTCTCAGTCAGATCCACCTGAGATTTGGCTCATGAATAAAACAGAAATATTTACGCTTGTCTTAGGTACAAAAGATTGGTGTAACAATCAAATGGGATAGATGTGAAAAGTTTCAAAAATTGCCAAGGGCTGTATGAAAATGAAGCACACGCCCTACTGTAGGAAGTAAGTCAAAGAATTTTGTCTAGAAAGGATGGCCTTCATCCAGTCAAGATATGTTAGAATGAGTTCTATGGAGGCTCTGTTTTGTGCTAAGTACCATTTTAGGTTCTCGTGACACACAACGATTCTATTCTTAGACATGGATTCCTCTGCTTTATTGTTGTCTAAAGCAATTATCTCCAACTTGAATCAGAGAAGAGTGTTTTATGAGGCTGCATATTATTTTAGTATTTCGATGAATATAACATAACATGAGCTTATGTCTACAACGTTGCATAGTCTAACAAATATCAAATACATTTGTTTTTCTCTGCAATCATATCATTTACAGTATACTGTGTCTCATGTTTATCCTGTTTATCACAAATTGTGATTATGGGGGAGCCTGGGTAGCTCAGTTGGTTGAGCATCTGACTCTTGATTTCTGCTCAAGTTATGGTGTCATGGTTTGTGAGATCGAGCCCTGCATTGGGCTCTTTGCTGACAGCATGGAGCCTACTTGGGATTCTCTCTCTCCCTCTCTCTCTGCCCTTCCTTTGTTTGCAAGCACACATGCTCTTGCTCCCTCTCTCTCTCACAAAATAAACATTAAAAAAAGAAATTGTGATTATATTAATTAATGAAATGGAAGCATAAATTAATCATAAGTTTATCAATATATTTTGTTCTAGACGTCTTTAAAACTATAAATTTCATGGGGAAAAATAATGAGGGTATTTTTTTTTAATTTTTTAATGTTCATTTATTTTTAAGAGAGAGAGAGAGAGAGACAGAGTGTGAGTGGGGGAGGGTCAGAAAAAGAGGGAGAGAGAGAGAATCCCAAGCAGGTTCCGCACTGTCAGCACAGAGCCCGACGTGGGCCTCGAGTTCACGAATCGCAAGATCATGATGTGAGCCAAAGTTGAACGCTGAACTGACTGAGCTACCCAGGTGCCCCTGAGAGTAATGTTCTAATAAAAAAACTTGCAGGGAAACACCAGCTCAGATTCCAAAATTGAATCAGCTCTGATAGGAATTAGTCTAGTAATTCATACCTTAGTTACTCCACTTGAAATTGTGTTTAGGTAATGCCTATACCTCTGACTTAGTTATAAGACCCCTTTTGCTCTCATTTGGTTTGTAACACACACACACACACACACACACACTCACACACACATGCACATATACACACATATATAACATATATATGTAATATAGCCATAACATGCATATATATACATATATATATACACACACATATATATAATATAGCTGTAAGATATATTACAAGTTGTTTTCTAAATTATATTATTAGAGCAGAGGGCTTTTACAAGTAAAGGTTTTTTAATTTATCTAAAGCTCTGGATTTATTTATATTATCTATTCTTTTTATATTTTTTCTAATATTTCTCTATATAGACATTTATTTGTTTTGAGTCAGTTGTTAAGAATATTAGTACCAGGTTTGTTAAAATGCTATCTTTTATTCTTCTTAAATGTTCCAGAGTGACTTACAAGTCCATTTGCACTTTGTTTTTTTACACTGTCCCTGGCAATAATTTTGTGCAACCCAATTTGCAGAAAACTACTAATGGTCCCCTTAGTTAGTATGTTGACATTCATATCTTAGCTCTTTCTAAAATGTTCCCCAGTAGATGGAATTTAGAATAGCTAATGTGATCAAAGATTATGGGAAGAAACAGATGATCGGTAAGATTCAAGGTAGTGACACATAGATTATCACCTATGAGTAAGCACCCAGAGGAGACTCCTAAACTCTGGGCATACATCTGGATCTGAGAACACCAAACTTGATTCACATTGACCTAGAACTTCTTTTTTTTTTTTTTTTTTTTTTTTTTTTAATTTTTTTTTCAACGTTTATTTATTTTTGGGACAGAGAGAGACAGAGCATGAACGGGGGAGGGGCAGAGAGAGAGGGAGACACAGAATCGGAAACAGGCTCCAGGCTCTGAGCCATCAGCCCAGAGCCCGACGCGGGGCTCGAACTCACGGACCGCGAGATCGTGACCTGGCTGAAGTCGGACGCTTAACCGACTGCGCCACCCAGGTGCCCCCTGACCTAGAACTTCTAATGAAAACCATTGTGATACAGAATGGCTAAATGCAGTCAATGAACCTAAGACTGGCCCTAAAATATCACTCCTTCCGGTTGTAGATATGTATATTATTTTACCTTTATGTCTCTTTCCTTCCTCGTCCTTTTTTCCCTTGAAACTTTGCAAAATGGAGACATATAGTGACTATTTTAATATTTATTATGGAAGCACAGCAGTGGTTAGAAGCAGAGGCTTTCAAATCTAGCACATCTGTATTTGAGCATGTTGCTTTGGGCAAGGTATTCTAGCTTCATAAGTGACAAATTTCCTCATTTATAAGATGTAGACTAATATCTACTTCATAAGGTTTTTGAAAGGACTATATGAGACAATTCTTCTAAAATGCTATGCATAGTATCTGGCACATAGTAATTATTCAATAAATACTATGTTATTTTTCTTTTAATCTTTTTTAAAAACTACAAATATTCCTCAATTTATTCCTTATGTATATTCCTTGCATCCCCATAAACCCAGTGAAAGTTGAAAAGATAGTCATTTGAAAATAGTTTTACTATCCCTAACCTATTGAGCATCATAGCTTAGCCTACCCTATCTTAAAAGGGCTCAGAATAATTACATTAGCCTAATCTTGGGCAAAATCATCTAACACAAAGCTTATTTTAGAATAAAGTATTGAAAATATCATAATTTAGGGAATAGTGTACTGAAAGTGAAAAGCTGCATGGTTGCACGGGAACAGGATGACTGTATTGGCTGTGACCTTCATGATGGTGTGGCTGATGGGGACCTGTGGTTGCCACTGCCCCGCATCACGCAATAAGATTGTGCCACTCCTTGCTAGCCAGGGAAGAGATTGAATTCAAAATTCAAAGTATGGTTTCTATTGAAAGTGTATTGCTTTCACAATTGGAAATTGTGAAAAATTTCCAATGCTTTCACATTGGAAAGTCCAAAAATTGCAAGCTGAACCTTAGTAAGTAGGGGACCATCTGTATAGCTCAAAGGCAATTTGGAGTGACTTTTTTTTGAGAGAGAAAGGGAGAGCACACACCTGGGAGAGGGGCAGAGAGAGAGAGAGAGAGAGAGAGAGAGAGAGAGAGAATCTTAAGTAGGCTCCATGCTCAGCACAAAGCCCAACATGGGGCTCAATCCCATGACCCTGGGGTCATCCCTGAGACGAAATCAAGAGTTGGATGCTTAACTGACTGAGCCACCCAGGCGCGCCTGGAGTGACTTAAAGATACTTCTTCATTCTTAATAAAACTTAAGGAATTGAATGGAAGGTCCTGTGCTTGGGATGCTCTTCTGTATTAAGTCCTTCTGCTGCACTATATGAGATTGAAATTAATGGAGTTACAATAACAAGTTGAAGAGGCCAAGTAAACCTTAGTTATTGGGAAATACCCACTCTGGGCTACTCTTTGGGTGTAAACAATATATTAAACCATTCTACTCCATTGCTCTAAACCTTTCAATGGCTTTCTATGGAGATTTGAATGTGGACAAGTCTATAAAGTGGTCTGCAGATCCCTATTCAATCTGGCTTCGAATGACCTCTCTAACTTCATCTCCTGTGGCTCTCCATATATACATGCTGATATTTCACCCTAATCTGCTTGCTCTCCTACAGTATGACAGGTAAGTTCTGATGTCAGGGAGGTTGCACTTGTGTGTCCAGCTTCCTAAAAGACTCCTCTCCCAGAAAGCATGACTTTGTCCCACAAGTCTTGACAGGTCTTGACTCAAGTGTCTTCTTATCATCACCTCCTGTAAATATTCCATTTGATACAGTACCCCCCACCAAACTAAATTCTACTTCTATTTTTTTATCTTCTCAAGTTCACTCAATATCACGTGATCTTTTGAGGCATCTGGGTGGCTCAGTTGGTTAAACGTCCCATTCGGCTCAGGTCACGGTCTCGCAGTTTGTGAGTTGAAGCCCCATGTCAGGCTCTGTGCTGTCGGCTTGGACCCTGGAGCCCACTTCAGAGTCTGTGTGTCTCTCTCTGCCCCTTCGCTGCTTGCTCTCTCTCAAAAATAAATAAACATTTAAAAAAATGTTTTAAATATCACATGATCTTTTTACATATACTCAGTTATTTGTTTATTATGTCTCTTATAGTAGTATAATCGCAGTAAAGGAAAATATTTTTTCTCTATTTTGTTCCCTGCTGTAGCTTCAAAACCAATAGTTTATTTTTGAATGAACAAACAATGTCTCCAGGCATTTTACAAACACCTTACTTACTTTTCTAAGGAACCAAACCATTGGCTGTAACAAAATAGGTCACAGCTCACATCTCCGTCTAGCTCGCTGACTCCTTTTGGTGCGTTCACTGTTTAACAGTTACCACAGCCTGAAGAGTTTAGCCAAGGAGCTCAGCAGTGGTTTCACAATAATTGTAATATCAGATCAGTGTTTTTAAATTACACGTTTTGTTGGCCTTATTCTACTTTGTTTCAGATTTCCTTTCACGATGGTGAAATAGGACAAAAATATGATCAGACTGGACAAATTTTCTGGACGCACTGATTTGGGGTCATAGTAATTTTTGAGGAAAATCTCACTGCCTTTCTCTGTATTCACTTTAGGTCATCCCTTTTAAACACCAGCCTCCTCCCTCTCCACCTTTGCTAGATCTGAATAGGGTAAGAGAGAAAGTCTCATTATTTCCCTAAAAAATAACTGTGGCCACACCAAACCCTGACTGTAGTTATCAAGATCCTCCAATTCCCCTTAACCCCCATAATGAAGAGTATAGTGAAACTTATTTGGTAACCCTAAGCCTTTTTCCCAATTTAGAACATTGATAATTTAGTAGTTTCAAACCTATACCAAATCATCTTAAAAGGCTATAGCCCAATGTTTAGCACAATATGAAATGAATATCAGGTTGGATAAAAATCCCAGTAGTACATTTGGTTAGATTTCAGAACGTCATGATAATTCCGTGCATATTTTCTGCCTAGTTTCTGGTCTTTTTTCATCCATTTCCAGGCTATTGGCATCCGTCACCTATTACCTCACATGACCGTTTCCCATTTTTTTTTTTTCCCACTGAAAATACTAATTCCTCTGACACAGAAAAGTGCTGATTCCAACAAGTGTCAAATAGGTTATTTTAATGATATTCTCCAGTGTCTCATGGCTTATCTCCGTCGAAACCAGGATACATTTCAAGCATCAAGTTTCAAAGTTAGAAACTATCAGATTATAATTACGTTGAAGTCTTTGATCTTGAATATGATATTCTTCTAGAAAAAATTTTCTCCTTCTCTTTGGATAGCGAAGGATATTAATCATTGCACTTATACTTCATATTGGGGGGCAAAACACTATGGGAGGGAATGCAGTAAAACTTAGCATTAGTATTTTGGGGAAGGATTTGGAATAAGGTACGTTACCACGATAGGAAGTCTCTAAAATATTACTTTGTTCATATGTGTAAAATTATGTCTCTAAATTATTATGTCTCTAAGATAGTTATGTCTCTAAAATATTACTTTGTTCATACGTGTAAAATATTTCTTCCTGGTTTTTAACCAAGGCTCAGGAATAGGAGTGATGTTCACTCTTCACACTAATATCTTGATAAAAGAAGAAACCTACAAAGTGTGTGCTTTTTGTCACAGTTACTGTTACCTACAGATAAGCTATGCTATACCATATATGTATATATCCTATATATATATATATATCCTATACATCCTATATATCCATATATATGGTATATATATCCTATATATATGTGTGTATATATATATATATATATATATCCTATATATATATAGGACTGCTGCTTATCCTCAGAGCTGTGATTTAAAACCATCAATATAAGAGAAAAATCTAACTCTGAAAGACAAACAAATGCCAAATGGAAAACAAAAGGCACTTACCCTGAGGAAGGGATGGGGGTGATGAACTTTCCAGGCAAGGACCCCTGGATAAGTTTAAATCAGCATATGTCACTTGTCTGTCCATTGCAAGCAGGAGAACGTGGCACAAAACTTGTGCGTAAGGACAGACTCCAAGTGCTATGAGTCAAGATCAGCGAAAGGAAGTGCCCAGTCTGAAATGCTTTTTTGTTTCTTTTGTATCTCCTCCCACCTACACTTTTAGCTGTGGGGTTTCTCCGTAAATAAGTGAGACAATCCACTTACTGAGTTTCCAATATACTTAGATATGTAACGTCTACTTTGCTAGTTAACTGGTCAGCTGTTTGACAAAATTTGGGGAAGATCTTGTTGTTGTTCTAATCCTCCCTTTTGAGTATCTTTCTCCAGGTCAGGACCGGCATGAGACAAATGAGACATTCATCTAGGGTGCAAATTTAAGGGACTCTCCAAAAAGATTCAGTAATCAAGAGAAATAACATTTAATGCAATGTTGTAAAAAGTAAACATTTATGCCAAAAATGGCAGGATGCCTTTCAAAAGTTCTAAATTCTTCGTGAAATATTTGTGCTGTAGATCAAGCTACGAAATATGAAAAATGGCATTGTAAATGTGGATATGGCCCCTTAATAACATAATTTTAAAAAGCAAATAGCTAAAGATCCATAGACCATGCTTAGCTTAGTTCTAAAGGCACTCGTGACTATAACAGAGTCTCCACATAAGTACAAAATTGAAATCTACCAGAATTATAGAAAGTAGAGGCCTTGAGTCTGTAGAATTTCCTTTTTTTCAAGGATTTTCAGGCATAGAACCTTAGAGCAGGATCTTAGATGCCACCAAGTCTGCAAATGATATGAGAGAAAACCAGGGATTTCCTTAAAGTCACTTGCTGTAATCAGAGCAGAACTGTACCAAATGCTCAGAATCACTGAACACTGGAAGTGGTCTCCTGGCTTTGATTCCCCAGAAGGAGGAAGTGGCTATTCATAGAAGACAAGTTTTCATTCTGTGCCTGTTATAGAGACACACGCTTATTCTATAAATGCTACGGATACTTACGAAAAAAGTAAGCATGTGTGAGAATTGAAAAGAAAGCATATGACATTTACAATCTATGCATCTTTAAGTGGATGGTGGGAAAAATAAAAAAGGTTGCTGTTTTTAGAAACATATGAAAAATATATTTTCCTGTGTTATAAAAATATATCCAGCATGATTGATGGTAATATTCTGAATTTAAAAAATTTCTAAGCTATTTCTTTTTATTTCCTTGTGAGAGTTTAATTTTTAGAGTGATGCACCAATGGTTATCCACCAATATTTAGAAGGTGGATATTTCACCTTCCCCCAAAATTCTGAGTCTTGAGTATAATATATCGAATCACTAAAACAAGCTTAGGTTGATAATACCATTCATTATATGCTCTCTTCAGTGATTCAATGACAATGTTCCTTGAGTATCTGACTATTTGGTAACTAGCAGTCACTTTATTCGTGCTATGATATTTGGTTTTGTCACATACCTCATCTAAATCTTTAAAGTAAACATAATCTACCAGAATTATGGAAGGGTATACTGGGTCACCTATATAGAATACTGTTTCTCAAATTGTAGTGTCTATATAGGGACCACCCGAAAACTTGCTAATATTGTAGACTCTTGCCACATGTATCCTTCCTTTCCTAAGACACAGTTAGGCTAAGGTGGGAGATGTGCTAAAAAAAAATCATCCCAGATTAATGAGGTGGTTCATGAACCACACACAAAGAATCATGTAGCAAGTGAAAAGTGTGAGGATATTTGAGAAAGATCAACAGAGTGAACAGAAGTCTGATAATTCAGGGGATTGAAATCATGGTCTGGCATACTAGAGTTTCATTTAAATGAAGCATGACTGGGGCGCTGGGTGGCGCAGTCGGTTAAGCGTCCGACTTCAGCCAGGTCACGATCTCGCGATCTGTGAGTTCGAGCCCCGCGTCGCCTCTGGGCTGATGGCTCAGAGCCTGGAGCCTGTTTCCGATTCTGTGTCTCCCTCTCTCTCTGCCCCTCCCCCGTTCATGCTCTGTCTCTCTCTGTCCCAAAAATAAATAAACGTTGAAAAAAAAATTAAATGAAGCATGACTGTGACTTTTGGAATCCACAGTAGCCAAATGAAAACGAATTTATTTGAGTGCTCCCTTCAAAGACATTTCCCTTCAAGCAAAACTTGTAGAAGTCTTGTGGGCTACGAAAGAATAAACTGGCTAGAATAGAAACAAATAAAAGTCTTTAGTTGTCCACACTACATATGCAACACATTGATGTTTCATTTTGTTTGCTACAGCTGTCTTCACAATCATCTATCACAAAAGACTTTTATTGTGCAACCGCTATTGTACACATAAAAAATAAAACCTTCATCTGAATTCATACCTGCAGAATGCTTTTAGTTATGTTCATCTAATTACACTTGGCACTTTTGCAAAAAGTTTATCAGAATTTAGGAATATACTGTCATATATATATATGTTATATGTAGTATACACACACATACAGAGATAGGCACACACTTCATATATATGATGTTAAAACTGGATATTTCAGACAATGAGTGATTACAAGTAACTCTGAACTTGAGAATTTGCAACAGTAGCAATGATATTGAATAGCTCAAAAACGTAGATTTTTTTTTTTTTTTTTTTTTTTTTTTTTTTTTTTTTTTA